TCTTCTTTCTAAATCAGGATAATATTACCCACATTGCGGCACTGTTGTGAAATTAGAAATAATGTGTGTAAAATATCTAGCACAGTATCTGGGGAAAAGGTAGGTTATTAGTAACACTTAATATTTACTCAATGGTTTTATCTTCACTCATAATGAGACTTCATTGACCCAGTCAATTCTATAATTATATATTCTATAATCTGCTTTCCACAATTTAAATTCATAGGAAAAATAATTGCACATTGGATGAAACATAGCATGGTGATTGAGTCTTAATTATAAACAATCTTAAATGGATTAATTACCAGCTGTGTGATGTTAGGCAAGTTACTTAACTTCTCTGTTACTGAATTTCCTTAAAAGTAACATGGGAATAATAGACTCTACCTTGTAGGATTGTGGCAAAAATAAGTTGAGTTAACATTTGGGTTTTTTTTTTTCCATTTTGATTCCAGTAAAATTGCCATACAATGTTATATTAGTTTCAGGTGCATAATATAGTGATTCAACAATTCTAAACATTACTTCTGCATGGAGCTGTCCAGTTTTCTGAACACCGTTGGTTGAAAAGACTGTCTTTTTCCTATTGCATACTCTTTCCCAAATGAGTTAATATTTGTAAAGAGCTTAGAATATTGCCTGGCATATAGTAGGAGTATAAAAGTCCTTGTTTAAATCAACAAACTTTTCTATAGGCTTTAACACATGTCACTTTCAAATAAATGATTGACAACAATAAGTGAGGATAATATTCCTATCAAGGGGAACAATTTTTACTTTACTAATCCACATGATTCTTAATGCACAGCTAAAGAATGCTATGCCTGATTCAGAAAAGACGAAATGAGTGCCAGTTTACACATCTATATAAGCGCCTGCTTCACAGATGCGGGGATCCTTGATAGAGGAAGAAGCCAGGTCCTTTACGATATTTCCTATTCTGCAGAAGGTGTATGAATCTTTCCCCCAAGTCCAGCCCAGAGGTACCTGTAGCCATTTATCTGAGCAAAAGAGCAAGGGGAAAAAGAAATACTTACTGTATTTGAGGGTTACCAGACATTATGAAGGTAATGCTCAGAGCTCCCAAATACCACCTTCATGGTCTCCAGTCAGAATGGGGCTTATGGAGATCAGGAGATAGGTGAAGTCTTCACCCGGGTCCATTTAACAGTGGATCTGATAAAATAGAAGACTCAGCCTCTGGTCATTTCCTTCCTTCGCAGAATATATAATGCAGTTAAACATATTTAGTGCCTGGCAGAATCCCCATATTGTTTACAACTGGTGGAGTAAGTGCTATTATAGTAGAAAAAGCAAATAGAGGCCCTTGAAACTGACCACCTTGCTCCCCGCCCCACCCCTCCACTGCCCTTGTTCTGGTATCCTCTAGACAGTCAAACAAAAGCAGTCCCACATCTCTGGGCACCTGCAGATGCTGGGGCTATTTAACTTAACTCCTTTAGTCAGCAAAAGCCAAATGAGTATTAAATATGACTGTGGGTTATTGCAAACTCAGTCAGGTGGTGATGCCAATTTTAGCTAAGGTTCAAAATGTGCTATCTTAACTGGAGCAAAAAAACATTGTGCTATTGACATTTAAAACAGGCTTTCCAATTTTTATCAGTGAAGATAATCAGACCCAGTTTGCCTTTGCAAAGGATTGCGATCTTCACTGTTGTGCAAACTCCCCTCGCTTCTTATATAATGCAGTCCAGAGATCTTGATCATCTTAATGTGTAAGACTGGTTCGGTAGATAGGGTTCTGACCAGAAACAGGTGGCATACTCCTGTTCGACAATTTAGAAAAACTTAATAAAGGGGGCTGTTTATAACAATGGGATGATGGGGAACACAAATCACTACCACCCTTAGATTTTGTACCAGGTTGGTTTCTGCCCAAAATTCACGTCCTTCTGGAATCTCAGAATGTGAACGGATTTGGAAATAGAGTCTTTGTAGATACAGTCAAGTTAAGATGAGATCATACTCGCTTAGGGTCCAATCTAACCCAGTGTGACTGGCGTCCTTCTGAGAAGAAAGCATCGAGACGCAAACCCAGAGAGGTCAGGGAGATGGCCACGGAATCCTGGAGGCAGACACGGGAGCAATGCAGCTACAAAGCAGGAATACCAAAGACTGTTGCAAGGACCTGACGCTAGAAAGAAGCATGACACAGATTCTCCCTCAGAGCCTCCCAACAAGCAACCAATCCTGACTACACTTGGATTTGGGACTTCTACCTCCAGAACTGGAAGAATCAGTTTCTATCGTTTCATCCAACTGGTTGTGGGACTTTGTTTCAGCAGCCCTAGCAAACAAATATGGACCTGAATGGACAAGGAATGGGTAGTTTTGGAAACTCAGAGGGAGTAGCTGCAGGGGTTAGAAAGGGCTGCCTCAAAAGGCACGGTGGCCTTCAATAAAGGGTGCAGCTGATTTGTTGCAACCCCATGGGAAGGGAGCTGAGGGAATAAGACCTTGACCTCAAACTCTCCCCATTTCTGGTCGGCGCCTCCTGCCAAACAGAACTGGGAGCCAGAGGGCAAGGAGCATATTGGGGAAATCAATTAGTCAGCCTCATGCCACACAAATGGGAGAGAGGAATGGAGTCTGCACATCTGAGATGGAAATGGAAAATATTCAGCACTGGGTATTAGATGCTATTGTGGAACTCTAGTGTCAAAAAAGGTATTGTAGTAATGTAAAAAGAAAAAAGGAAGAAAGAAAACATGCCCATTAAAGTATTTATCAGCAAAAAAATGATCTGTAAGTATTCTTTAAAATATTTCAGTTTAGGGGCTTCTGGGTGGCTCAGTCAGTTAAGTGTTGGCCTTTGGCTCTGGTCATGATCCCAGAGTCCTGGGATGGAGCCCACGTTCAGCAGAGAGTCTGCTTCTCCCTCTCTTTCTGCCCCTCCTCCTGCTCATGCTCTCTCTCAAATAAATAAATAAAATCTTTAAAAAAATATTTCAGCTCATTAAAAAAGTGAGAGAGGCAGACAAAAGACTGGCAAAATGGCACCGATTCCTGAAGCAGGTAGTCCATTAATACTCACCACTATCGTCTCAATCTGTGAAATTTTCCATGATAAATATTACATTGAAAAATTTAAAACAACGTTTCTCAAACAATGTAGGAACAATCTGTGCTCCAGTGAAAAATTATGCACCGTATAGACTCCAGACGACACCCTCTGGATTACTAGATTCTGATTTTATCTGAGTGGTGTCCCAACTTTGTACATTGTACATAAGTGATACCAGTGACAGGTAACTCTTGTCTAAGAACATGTAAATTCTGTCCTACCTGACAGAGTTTCAATTGGCCTTCCTCCCTCACTGTGAAAGAAGTCAGTCTCCATTATCTCTAGCTGAACTTTCTGCCCACTTTCAAAAAAGCAGATGCTGATTTCTAAGAACAAGTAGAAAAATGTGTTGAAAAAATTTTAGAAAAGGACATGCTGTATATATGCTCTTAATTCACTTTTAAACACTTTAAACTACTAGAGAAGACTGGTTTTCCTTGTATTGCTATTTCAGAGCTCTGAGTAAAGCCTCGCATGATCTACCCCTTCCTCTCCTCTTCTGGGTGTTCATTCAAACATCACTGCGTCCCTGCTGGTGTTATCCCCTTTCATCACTTTTTGTTTCCCCATGGCACTGATCGCCATCTCTCATGTCATATTTCATCAATTTTTTGTCTTGTTTATTGCCTGTCTCCCTCCACAAGAATGAGCAGTCCCTGAAGACAGGTGTTTCTACCTGTTTTGTTTACAGGTGTACCCTCTGCACTTTGAACAAAGTCTGGAAACAGTAGCAACTCAGTTACTATTCTTTTAAGGAGGGAAGGGGCCAGTCTCTCCACCACTCTCTTAAAGGCAAAGATTTGGTTTTATTGTTTGTGCAATTCTAGCATTTACCTGGCACATAGTTACATATTTAAGAGTTAGTAAGAATTAGTCCCATGGATTCCCGGAGGGACCCAGGTCAATTCTAGGATAGCTGCACTGGGTAGAGAAAAGCCCAATTTAACATCCCTTCTGGTTTCCACATCATTTCCCTGATTCCTCATTACTTGGGATGACTTAGATGAGGCCATACATCTTTAGAGTGTCAGTCAAAAGACTAGACACAGTGGTACATGGTAATGGAGGCAGTACATGGTGTTTACAACCTTTCTTTCTTTTCTTTTTCTTTTTTTTGGGGGGGCACTCGCTAAACATTCATTTGTATATGTCACTAACAGGATAAAATGTCTGAGAAGACTGTCTGAATTCGGAGGAAGGGGCCGAGACTATTGAGTTTTTAAGGTGGCATTATGGAATGCGTATTTTAGAAGCCACCGTGGCAATAGTTTGGGGTGGGAAGTCAGCTTGGAGCATTAATAAGAGTAAGGAGTGCTCAGTAATGAGTGGGCCACAGTGCCATTAAAAGGTTGTCTTAAGACTCCTGGCAGCTTCAAGATGAAAAACCGGAAGGAAGGAAGGAAGGAAGGAAGGAAGGAAGGAAGAAAGGAAGGGAAGGAGGGAGGGAGGAATGGAGGGAATGGAGGAAGGGAGGAAGAGAGAGAGAGGAAAGGGAGGCTGGGGAGAAAAAGACAAACAATTTTTCTAGCAGAGAGAGAGAGACAGAGACAGAGAGAGGGAGTGTGTGTGTGTGTGTGTGTGTGTGTGTGTGTGTGAAAAATGCCCCAACTAATCTCTATCAGTGTAGGCAAACAAACTTTCTGACATCTTCCCCTTGGCAGTGAACACCAGGACTTCCCTCAACCGGAGAAAGGCTCGGCTTAACCACCCAGGGTCTCCAGAAGGAGTAGCACCGTGGGGATCCCACGTGGCTTCAGGCGCCCGCCCACCCACTCGCGGGTGTGAGAGGCGGGTCGCGGCCCGGCGGGGCGGGAGCGGGGGTGTGCGCTGGGCAGCCTCCGCCGGAGGAGGGGCCGGAGGGTGGCGCGGAGTCCCCGCTTTTCCCCGGCGCCCCGATGAGGGCGGCCGACAGCGCGGGACGGGCATGGCAGAGATGCGGCCGGGAACGGCGGCGGGGCTGCAGCTCAGCGCGCTGCCCGACCACTCCCCGCTGCTGCAGCCCAGCCTGGTGGAGCTGCGGCGCCGGGCGCGGGCGGCGGGCGCTCCGCCGACGCCTCTGCCACTCACCGACTCCTTCCTGCTGCGGTTCCTGCGCGCCCGGGACTTCGACCTCGACCTGGCCTGGCGGGTAAGCGCGCTTTCCCGCAGCATTTTCCCCGCGCGCCGGCAGGGCTGGGGACCAGAGGCATGGCCAGACCTCTGGGAAATGCCGAGTTGCCTGCCGAACCTGGGGAGGGTGCGCGCCCCTAACGCACCGGGCGGTGGGCGGTGGCTGCAAGTGTTCTGAGAAATCCCGCGCCGGTCCTTCCAGTTTCTCTGAGTCATGGAAACGCGAAACCTGGAAAAAGCTGGAGCGCTCTGGGGTGACGGCCCAGTTGACCCCAAACACTGGAACTGTGCTCTAGAGGGATCTCCCGAACCTATCCAGTTTGGGGGTGGGGAGCGGAGGATCCCTTTTCCTGTCCCTGGCCCAAAGCCAGTGATATGAAACAAAGTGACAGCTGCGAAGTAGGAAACCCAGATTTATCAAGTCGTAGCAGATCACTCCACGTGTGGTGGGGAAAACGGAGTTGCCAGAAAAACTGAAGCCCTGAAGCCAAATTCTAGCGAAATAGTGCCATTGTTAAGAATAAAACGTAAGTGTCGGGACGGTGAAGCGGTCCAGAATATTTTGAGTGCAAAGGTGTGAGACGAGATGGTTCTTTTGTGTTTCCAGGTATGGTACAGATGGTTGAAGAAGGGGCGGTGGGAAGACAGGAATCAAAAAAGAGGGATGTAACCTTGAGTACCTGTCCCTTTGGGCTGAGCATCCTGTTCTGTTAAGTAATGGTGAAAAAGCCTACCTACCGCACTGATTTCGAGGCTTGAGCATTCACCAATTTAACAGAACAAGGCAAACCCAGCACAGAGCCTGACGATATATATAGTAAGCACTCAGCCATTGAACCTGATCTAGCCCTTCTGCCAACTGGCTTACTCAGTGTCATATTAGGAGGTGGGAGGCAGGGGAAGTAGAATAGTGCAGAAGAGCAACATGACCTAGTTTGAGTTTTGTTGATGCTGTTAACTGATTTTTTTTAAATATTTTATTTATTTATTTGACAGAGAGAGATCACAAGTAGGCAGAGAGGCAGACAGAGAGAGAGAGAGGAGAAAGCAGGCTCCCTGCCAAGCAGAGAGCCCTATTCGGGGCTCGATCCCAGGACCCTGAGATCATGACCCGAGCTGAAGGCAGAGGCTTATTAACCCACTGAGCCACCCAGGCGCCCGTTAACTGATTTTTAATCAAAAAAATGAAGAGCGTGAGTGATTAAAAAAATCATAAACAGTAAAGGGTGCAAAGTAAATTTCTAAAAGAACTTAATAAAGGAGAGAAGTTCCCCACCCCAAACCTTCATTTTGCTGGTCATCTACCCAGAAGCAATTACTGTACCTGTTGATCTTTCTAGATTAGTCTGTGTTCACACAAGCATATGTATGTGTTTTACATTTGGCCTTATTTATCTGTTTTTTGTTTTTACCTAATTTATCATAGAGATGGGCTTAGTTCAGTATGTGGGCATACATCTTATTCTTTTTGGGGTGTGTGTGTACTATTCCAGTGTGTGGATTTATTATATCAAAATGTATTAACCAGTCCCCCATTATTAGATAGAAGAGTTATCCTCACCAATGGCAATGCCCATATATGCTGTTCATTCCTTCGTTCAATGATTATTTTTTGAACTCTTAAAATTTGCCTGGCAGTACGCAAGATACAGTAAACAAAACAAGTGGGGCTTCTTCTATTACTGACTAGATATTGTAGTATGTATACATTTGTCTTTGTGCAAAAAATAGTATTATATCCTTATAAGTTCAACCTGTGAAGTTCCTGGATGAAGTGAGGTATGCATTTTCAGGGGTGATGAATATAACTCTCCTTCAAAGTGTTTGCACTAATTTTATCACTTTTGTATTACAAAATGGTGCCTTTTTCTCCATATTATCACCTACACTGTACTATCAAACCTTATGATCTGTGTCAACCCGTTTGGCAAGAAATTGGTTCTCATTACAATATGCATTTGTTTAATTGTTTAATTATAAGTGAGATTAATCATCTTCCATATTTTTCAAATAAATTTAAATTATTTTCCAGTTAGCTGTTTTTACCATTTGTTAATTTTCTTGCATTTTGTTCACAAAAATATACATATACATTTTTATTCATTAAGTATCTTTATGTATTAAATAAGACCTTGCCCTAGTTTGATATCTTTTGACATTGTTTGTACTGTTTATTTTTCTGTGCAGAATTTAAATATTTTTATGTAATCACATATATCGATTAGCTTGTTCTTTGATGGTTTCTGATTGTTTTAAAAGCTTTTCTCCTCTCCAAAATTTTCTCTAGTAATTTATGACTTCTCTTTTGAATGTTGGAGTTGCTAACCTACTGAGATTTATTTTGATGTTAGGAATGAAATAGGAATCTGGCTTTGTTTTTGTTTTGTCAAATGGTTACTCAGGTATCCCAGCATCATGGGTAATAAACTAATATTTACTCAGCAACTGCTGAATATAAAGACAATCTTAGGTCCTATGAGGAGTGCAGTTTAAATGAAACATATTAATGCGTAGAGATCACTAATAATAAAAAAAGTGTGTGATTTGCTGCTTTCATTTTAGCTGCTTTTCAAAAGAAATGTTTAAACACAAGAAGAAATAAAATTTACCTCCAGAAACTGTTATATATGTATTGTTTTCTGTATTCTTTGTTTTCCTGAATTGTTTTCATTTCACCATGCCCTTGAGGAATTGGCTAGCAAGACTGTCTAAATCCCCTGGATAGGGATCAAGTTTCTGTCTGTGAACTCTTTGCCTTACTTTCCTGCCAAGTGGAAAGGAAAAGGAAAGGCTTAGAGTGTGAAACTTTTTTTTTTCAATTTCCTCCATAAAGGCAGATAATTCAACTCAAACTCCCTTATTTATAATAGAAAAGCCCTATAGATTTAGTATGTGAAGAAAGCTTGATAAGCCTCTCAGTTACAATGCAATTTCTCATTATTCTAGTTTTTGTATTTGAAGTTATAGTGAATTAATGAAGTTTTTATGATTCTAAAAGTTTATAGAGCACCAATTATTGGGTAAATAGTGTTTGTGTGGATTAGCTAATTATTATCTCGTTTTAGAAGAAACTGAGATGCGGTTTCTAGTCCAAAATCAGGTAATAAGTGGTAAAGGAGGGATTTGAACTTAGGTTGAACTGTGCAAAGCCTGTTCTCACAAGTATACTGTACTTGCTTCTTCCATTCAAAACAATGAACATAAAACTGCCAATGTTAACCTCAGTGTGTCCTACAGATTCCTGTAAATATCTGTCTTTTATAAGTGACTAGTTCAGTTCCCTATGTTTTTGCTCCATGTGGCGAGTTTTTTGATTTTTGTTTTTTTAATCCTTTAATTATTTTTACGGTTTCCCTGAAGTCTTGGAAGCTTTAAAAAATCTGACTCTTCCTGTAGCTTCTTTTGTAAAATTTATCGTATCACATGTCAGTTTCAGTGACTGTGTCAGTTTCAGTGTAAAATTGATCATATCACCTGTCAGTCCCAGTGACCCTGCTCCTGAGAGTTACTGCCCTTAAACAAATGTGTAACTTCTCTGAGCTTTAGTAGTCTTATCCGTAAAATGGAGTAACAATCGTTACCTCTCAGACTGGTTGTGAGAAGGAATTGAAATGGCGCCATTAAACCCTGTAAAGGCAGCACAGCTATAGTTGCTATTTCGTTTGAAAGTACATGAAAAATGTGAGAAGAAACTGACTCTATTACAAAGCATAGTTAAAACAAATCCTAACTTTTTACATTTATTTATTCCTAACTATGGCAAAAACAGGTGCCTTCCAGTAAAGAATGTTCCCTTGCTGCCAATTTTTTTTGTAGTTGTGGACTTTTGATGATTTGAGAATTGCTCAGTAGCAATTTATGTCATTTATATAACTTATTTATGTCAGCCGAATTTTGAGTTTATTTGCCTGCAGAAATGTAATGATCAAAGATCCAGGTTTAGGTATTTCAATTTGCGAAAGTTAAATGTCAAAGGCGGTAGAGTGATTTGTGCATCTTTAAGAAAAAGTCAGTTTTTCAAGTATGTGAATTTGACTGGTTTACTCATGCGTTAGTTTATTCTTTCATTCAATACTTGTACCTATCTCCTGGGTGCCCAGCATTCTGCAGAGATGAATAAGCTTAGGACCCCGCTTGTCACCTAAAAGATCCCTTTTAATGAAGCTCCGACTTGTATGATTCCATGGGAAATTAAAATCGTCACTTTTATATAAGAGCTAATACGCTGCTTCTAGCGTTTTGCTTGAATTAAAAAGACTTTTCATATCTGAGGGAACTATCAAAGTAATGAGCACTGTAACATTCTTTTAACACTTATTCTGATGCACTCTAAGACAGGAGGAGGAGGAGATACTCATAGAGTAGAATGAATATATCAGAATCTACAATGTGCCTTTTGTTCTTTCTCCTTTTGGAAATTGCTATTTAGGTCACCAATTATTTCTTTGTTGGCTAATATAGGGACTTTTTTCTTTCCTACCTTGCAGTTTTATTTAACCCATGGCAACATTCTCTTTTTAAAAAGAGTTCAGAGAAGTTTATTAAATGAAGAAATGAGAGGGAGAAAAACAGAGATAGAGAAATTTAGAAAGACAACATTGGGGAGAGAGAGAGAGGAGAGGGGGCAGGTGGCACAAATAACTTTTTCCTCCCTTCTGTGCACCATGGTGTCGCTGCTCCTCCAGTCCAGTCAGCTTTTCTCTTTCTTCAGGCCATTACCAGTGTCCCACGTTTGGAATTTCACCCTCTGCTTGCCTTTTAAAATTTGTATTTGTAGTTTCTCCTCCAGGTCATTACTACTTTGTGATTACACCTGTCATGTTTATTTCAGTGAGTCTCAAATATGAAATTTGTCCCTTCCTTTCATCTAAACTTCCATTCCCCATTGCTAGTAGACCTCTTTTTTTTTTAAGATTTTATTTATTTATTTGACAAGCAGAGATTACAAGTAGACAGAGAGAGAGAGAGAGAGAGAGAGAGAGAGAAGAGGAAGCAGGCTCCCTACTGAGCAGAGAGCCTGATACGGGGCTCGATCCCAGGGCTCGATCCCAGGACCCTGGGACCATGACCTGAGCCGAAGGCAGAGGCTTAACCCACTGAGCCACCCAGGCGCCCCACTAGTAGACCTCTTTGAACTCAAAATAGACATATTGTTGGGGCACCTGGATGGCATTGTCGGTTAAGCGTCTGACACTGGTTTCAGCTCAGGTCTTTATCTCAGGATTGTGAGATGGAGGACTCCCTCAGGCTCTGCCCTTAGTGTGGAGTTTGCTGGAGATTCTCTTTCCTTCTCCCTCTGCCCTTCCCTCTTGCTTATGCTCTCTCTCTCAAAATAATTAAATAAATCTTTAAAACAAAACAAAAAAACCCTCAAACATATTGTCATGTTACAAAAATTGAGAATGCTAAATATTTTGAAGAGGAAAATTAAACCATAATAGACTTTAAATGCATAATTTGATTTTAGTATTCTCCAAGATACTGGCAATATCTGTATTACTTGTAAATGCAGAGTAACCATTATTGGTGGTTCTTTTAGAATGAAAAGACAACAGGATTCCTTCAGACCATACTTTACCAAGACCTACTATCCGGGCATACTGTTCCACTCGGAATGCATACCACAACTAACAAAGTTGATTTCTGTTGTTTTCCTATTAGTAGAAAGTATAGCAATGGTACAGAGACGTTCTTTTGCACCTTTGATTTAGATCTTTTTTGTAGGAAAGAAAATGAAACCAAAAAAAATTCAAGTTCTCCTCAACATAAACCTGCGCTAAGATACACAGATGAGCAATAAATCCAAATAACCTTCCTATTACAGCAATAGCAGTGGTAACTACCACTCATTATGCCCAGGGATGCTTTATGCTTAACCCCACAAGGCAGATAGGGGGGAAATAAGACACAAAGGAGTTAAATATTTACCCAACATCACACAGGTGATACGTAGTAGAGTCAAGGCTTTTCTGACGAAGAAGCCTGGTGATTTAACTTTTCATTACGTAACATGGCCTGGGTGACCCAGTTGTCACCAGCGGGTCAGCCCCAATGAGAGCAGGCATTTTATTCTGCTCATGGCTATAACCCAAGTGCCTACCCAGTGTATAGAACATTGTAGATGCTCCAAAAATATTTGTAGCGCTAATTCGTTTGATTTCTATTTTTCCTTATTTCAGAACGGACTAAAGGTGGATGTTTCCGTTTTCTATTAGCGAGTAACAAATCACCCCCAAATTTAGTGGCTTAAACCACAACTATTTATTTGTCTGTGATTCTTTCATTTGGTCAGGGCTGAGTGGGGATGGCTCATCTGTGATCCACATTGCATCAGAAGGGAACTTGGCAGAGACCAGACTAAGATGGGCTCTGGTTGTCCAGTGCCTCTTTCCACACAGACTAATTAGTAATCTTATTCTTAGGTGGTTTCTGGGTCCCCAAAAGCAAACCCAGAAAGTCTCAGCCTTCCTACACTAGCAAAGTGTCACTTCTGCTGAAGCAAAAGGTAAGGCTGGCCCAGATTCTGAGGGGAGGAATCAACTGGATCCCATCTGTAACGGGACGAATGGCATGTGTCTACCAGGAGGGGAGGTATTATTGGTTGCTATCTTTGGAGACTACCAACCATGGGGGGCAAATCAAAATTACTCAGCTTTGAATTTGTGATGAAGTCTTAGCACCTGAGATCCTTGCTGAAGGGAACTTAAGATTTTACAACTAAAAAAAAAAAAAAAGAAAAAGAAAAATACCCCAGATTAAAATCCTGACATAACGGATGGTAAGGGCCCTTCGTAATGCCAGAGCTTTGCTTCCATTTTTATAAGTGCTTACCATGTATGCCCTATGTAGACAATTTTTATTTTATTTTCCAGTTACTGAAAAACTATTATAAGTGGAGAGCAGAATGCCCAGAAATAAGTGCAGATCTATGCCCTCGAAGTATTCTTGGTCTTCTGAAGGCTGGTTATCTTGGAGTCCTGCGAGCCAGAGACCCCACTGGCAGCAAAGTTCTGATTTACAGAATTGGTAAGTCATATACAGCGCTGCTTTCCTTTTTCTTTCTTTTTTTTGGATGCCATATTGAAAGGTCTAGGAGTCCATATTTAAGAATTTGGCTTTTCAGGTTTTAACTTAGATTTAATTTAGATTATAATGTCCCTTAAAAAAATAAAATGGCAATTGTGAGAAAATTAGAAACCAATGAAAATCTTGCTTCCATTCTTCCACACAGTCAGCTGTATAAAATAAGAGAGAAAGAAAACAAAGTAGAGAAATACTCGGGGGCGGGGGGGGAGGTGAAAAAGATCAAGGTGAAGTGTTTAGAAAATGCTTAGTAGGAAACCAATAAGAATTCTGAACCATAATAACACAAGCTCCACGAGAGCATGGATTTTGTCTGTTCTGTTCACTGTATCCTAACACTGAAACCAGGACCTAGCACATGGTAGGTATTTAGTAAATATTTCTGGAGTGAGTGATGGCTAGTTGGATAAGACCCAGGGCTGAGGAGCCAGGGGCTCATTCTCTGGAATGGGGGAAGGTCCAGTGGGAAAGCGGCATCCCTGGGTAGTGTCGAAGACACTGTATTCCACATACCCCTCTTGTCACAGCTTCCTCTTTTCACCATCAGGCCTTCCTAGTGTTTCCTATAGGTTGGTGACTGCCCCTTCCCTCGGCCTGAGTGTGATTAAAAATGGCTTGTAATGAAGAAGAATTCACGCTGCTCCCAGCATCCTCTTGTGGCCTAGCAGAAAGGACAAAGATAACTATCTTTGTAAATTTACAAAGATGTAAATTTACATCTGTAAATATTCTAGGGAGCTTTAGAATATTTATAGACTTGCTTTTCCTACCTGATTATAGATAAGATACATGCCTCTAACTCAACTGTTTATGACCTTGTAAGAAGGCTCCGCATTTATTTCTTTAGGGTACCAGAAGACCAAGTAGAATGATTCCTGTTGTTTGCTTCAGCTTATGTGTCAAGTATAATTAGGTCAGTCATGAAGTCATTGTCCATAAAACAGACAACACAACGTCTGCCCTATCCTTTCGTTGCCCTATCAGTCTTCCAGGATGATGAACGAGGTTCCCCAAGTTCTTTAGAGGAGGAGTGGCCCAAGGAAAGATAGTATCTATGTAAACATAGATTGTATGACAATATGGTATGTCCAGCTTGAATCTGAATTTCAGATAAACAGGGTATAATTTTTCAGTGTAAGTATGCCCCATACATACTAAAAAATTATTTGTTGTTTATCTGAAATTCAGCTGTAACAGGGCATCTTATATTTTATCTGGGCTACTGGAAGTTTCCAGGAACATAAAACTAAAACCATCAGGGGACTCTTTCTGCAAGTGTCCTGGCTCTGTACTGGCTGGCTGGAGTTTTTTCAAGCTTGTTCATAAATTACCTGGGGCAAGTTAAGAAGTAAAAGTGATACCTGGACAGTGAAAGAGCAAGCGTGCTCCTTTGATCATAAATTCCTTAACACTGGGGGCACCTGGCCAGCTCAGACAGTGGAATGTGTGATTCTTGATCTCAGGGTTGTGAGTTTGAGCCCCACATTGGGTATAGAGATTATTTAAAAATAAAAGCTTTATGAATAAGTAAATAAATAAATACATACATATCTTAACACTGCATCAATTGTCTTCTATTGCTTAGAGAGAGGGTTTCTTGTGGTATATTAACATTTAAGTATACCCTTTAACTAAAAGAGATTTTAAAATCAAGAAAACATGTAGGTTGGGGTGCCTGGGTGGCTCAGTAGGTTACGCTTCTGCCTTCAGCTCTGGTCATGATCCCAGGGTCCAGAGATCGAGCTCCACATTAGACTTCTTGATTGGCAGAGAGCCTGCTTCTCCCTCTCCCTCTGCCTGCCACTCCCCCTGCTTGTGCTTTCTCTCTCTCTGTCAAATAAATAAAATCTTAAATAAAAGAAAAAAGAAAACACATAGGTTAGTGATGGTCAGAACAGAAGGGCATGCAGCAAATTTCCTGTGTGTTATGTAGAATAAGATATTATTCTAGGATGAAAAGGGAAAACTCAGAAGAGGTTTAGGAGTAAAAGGAAAGGGTAGGATAAAGATTCATTAATTTTCTAAATGTGATTGAATTAATGGGCAAAACTAAAAAAAGGAAATCTGTGGTAGAGGTTCCCAGTGGAATGTTAGCATAACCACCTTTCCCTAGGTACCATCTCTGCAGTGAAAGCAGAGAGAAAATGCACAGAGCCTTTTTCTCTGGTCCATCAGGACAACACAAGGTGAAACTCAGTTTTTGCCATTATTTGCCTACAAGCCAGAGGATATAATTTTATGCCTTTTGAGACTATTATACTGCAGCAGCAAAAATAACATTTAACAGTGAGTCTTAAGCTTTGACTCTGGCTTAGTTCTTAGGAATACAAGTTCTACACCTGGGTTGGAACTGCAGCTCTGCTCTGTTCTAGCTACATGGGCAGCTATGTACCTGTAACCCCAGTTTCTCTTCTATCAAACAGGCATAGTAAAAACCTATCTCATAGGGTTGCTGTGAGCATTACATCGTGGGATACACATGAAATAAGAGCATTACCTGATGTATGATAAGCACTCAATAAATATTACACAGATGCTGGAAAAGGAATTAAGAAGTTAAGGCATGTTTTTCTTTTGCCTTAAAGGAGCTTAGAGTCTAGACCAGTGCTATCCAATAGAATTTTCCATGATGATGAAACTGTTCTCCAATAGCCATTAGTTATATGTGGCTGTTGAGCACTTGAAATGTGGCTTTTGCAACTAAGAAACTGAATTTTTAATTTTATTTAATGTTAATTAGTTTAAATTTCAATAGCTACACATGGCTAATGGCTACCCCATCAGACAGCACACGTCTAGACAACTATGTTGGTGAGCTCAGGAATTTAGGCCAGTAACTATTTTCTTGACTGCAGATTTTCAATTGTTCTGTTCATATTTTTCACCATTGTAGCTTTCTGCCAAGGTCTGAAGTAGTATAGTATATTTGAGCTGTGTTATCCATGAATTGATTACTCAAATTTTTACCAGGCAGCTGATGCTCTTAAAAAGCAAAGGGCAAACCCATTGTGCCTTTCTGGGAATACTTCTGATTCTGGGAATACTTCTGATTCTTTTCTTTGTTCAATTTTTTCCTTACTGGTAGACACTCCCCAACAACATTTAAATCTATTAAGGGTCAGAGTCTCCTTTGTCGGCATCACCTGTTCTACCACCATTACAATTCTGAAATTCTTTCCCGCACTGGTCTCAGCTTCCTCTTCTCATGCTACTTTCTATATAGATCTAAAATAATCCCAGTCGCAGGCTGTCGTACAAGCACAAACAACACTCAGATTTCTGTCTTCACCCCACCATCTCCTGTCCCCAGGGATCCATACGAGCAGCACCCTATTCCAACTGTGTCCAACTGGATACCTCTCAGTCACCATTTTTACATGTCCAAAACTACTTATAATCTTTTCCTCCCAAAACATTTCTCTTCCACTGTTTCCTATCTCAGTAAGTGGTACCACCATTCTACCCAGTTGTCCAAGCCAGAAACTTTGGTATTTTGAAACTACCATTACTTAATCATGAATCTTTTTTTTTCTCCCCCTTTCACATTGTCTTCTTAGGCACTCCTTGGAATCTCCAGCATGAAGACTTGCATTTTTTTTCAGCTCTGGAACATTTTTCTCTACTGTTATTCCTCTTTCCCCTCTTCCCTATTCTCTGCATTATTACCTTTCAGAACTCTAATTATTTGGATGTTGAAACTCTGGTTTCTACATGTCTCTAGCTGCATGAGTCTTTTGATGCATACTTACCAACTCCTGGCTCTTTTCAGAGAATTCCTCAGCTTGGTATTCCAAACCATTACGCAATCATGGGTTATGTTTTTTTCTGGGTTTGTCCCATTGACTGAGATTTGCTTGAATTATCATCTTTTTATTTCCAAAATCTCAACTGATTCTTTTAAATAATAACCAGTTCTTATAATAATAGCCTACATTACCTTTTTCTTCCCTCATTGAAACTATTTTGCTTCTTTTTAATGTCTCTTGCTGTATTAACTGTTCTCTTAGGTTTTAGCGCCTTTGTTGAGTGCGATTCCCCACTTCTTTGTAATTTTTAAAATGTTATAATACTTAGTGCATGTGTATCTTCTTTTAAGATCACCTGTTTGCCTGTCCATTCCTGTCATTTCTGCTTGCCCTGGCCTCTCCAGGGATGGTGGGGGGAGGGGAGACGACAGGAATGTCATTAATCTTTTGTTGTTTCTCCTGGGTATGGGCCGCTATGGGAGTGCTTCCCTGGCTCTTTTCCAAAGCCCACACTTACTGTTCTGGCCTGTACAGACATGGCAGCTATGTGCTACTGCCATGGAGGGGTGTCTGACACATGAGCATGCCCATTTGTTCTTCAACCATTTCCCTTAGCAACCTCTTTGGTTACTATAGGGCCCTAGTTACTCTTTATAATCCTTTATCATCCAAAAGCCCCTACTTTTCCCATTTCTAACACCTCTGAGCTGGGAGCATACCTGGGGACATTTTCATCTTTAGCCACAACCCTCTCCTGAATGTTTTGGGCTATAGCTTCATCTGGCAATCAAATCCAGTCTACATTCAATCTCTTCTCCCTGATGCTCTTACAAATCTGTTCTTCGCTAGGGATCTGAGGATGGAGGGAAAAGCAGGAACATGTTTTTGGACCACCAATTTAACCCATTATTTAATCCATGATCTTTGTACATGTTTTTATTTCTACTGATCTTTTAAGTCTCAAAAGAGTTAGTTTCCCATTGTAAATCTTCCTGAATCTTTACACTATACTGAGATATGTTATGTTTAAATTTTTTTTTTTTTAGCACAATGGGACCCAAAAGTTTTCACAGCTTATGATGTTTTTCGTGTAAGTCTAATCACATCCGAGCTTATTGTACAGGAGGTAGAAACTCAGCGGAATGGTATCAAGGCTATCTTTGATCTAGAAGGCTGGCAGTTTTCTCATGCTTTTCAAATTACCCCATCCGTAGCCAAGAAGATTGCTGCTGTTCTTACAGTAAGTGTATATTTTAACTCTTTGGGATACTAATTCCAAATAGTAGATTTAAATTTAGTTATATATTCAACAAAGCAAGAGAATAATACATTAGAAAATTAAATAATTTTAAAATGATACACAGAATTCAGTAATGCTAAGAGAAAGTAAAGTGTTTTTTTTTTTAAATTAATATATGTATTATTTGCTTCAGGTGTACAGGTCTGGGAATCATCAGTCTTACACAACTCACAGCACTCACCATAGCACATACCCTCCCCAATGTCCATAACCCAACCATCCTCTCCCTACTCCCTCGCCCCAGTAACCCTCTGTTTTGTGAGATTAAGAATCTCTCATGGTTTGTCTCCCTCCCTGATCCCATCTTGTTTCATTTTTTCCTTCCCTATCCCCGACAACCCCTCCACCCTGCCTCATATCAGAGAGATCATATCATAATTGTTGAGAAAGTAAAGTATTATTAATTCATAAAAGAAAGAATGTTGCAAGAAACTGAAAATATGTTCAAAATTAGTAGCCAAATAATTTATGCATTTAAATAATAACATGGTAACTTTCTCTTTCTATTACTTAAATTTTCTTCCTAAATTAAAAGATTGACTCAAAACAATATTTATAGCTATGGTACAATAAAATGTTACATTCTTGGTAGGTATAAATTCATACAGTTCTTTCAGAAATTAAAAGGTTTTTTTAAGATGACCATCATCTTTGATCCAGTAGTGATCCAGATCTACTTTCAGGGACCTAACCAGCGAATAATCTGAAACACAGTAAAGACTTCATATATAATGACAATAGTAGCTGACTATGGGCCAGGTACTTCACTAAGTATCTCAAGTGCATTACCATTTAATGGCCAAACAAGCCTATGGCTATTATTTTTTCCATTTTACAGATTAACTATGTCAGAGGGATGACATAGCAATGCCCAAACACACACATTTTGTAGTGAATCAAGAATTCAGGTCAGGTCATCTGAGTGTGTAAGAGTTGTGTTTATAACCACAATTGGCTCAGATAAATATGGTTACTTATAGCATCAATTTTTATAGATGAAAATTAGAAATAGCTTATTTGTCCAGAAATAGGAAAATTATGGTATATCCATTTGATAGATTATCACAATAATATTAAAACTTATGATATGGAGGCGACTGGGTGGCTTAGTTGGTTAAACGGCTGCCTTCAGCTCAGGTCATGATTCCAGGGTCCTGGGATTGAGCCCCACATCGGGCTCCCTGCTCAGCAGAGAGCCTGCTTCTCTCTCTCCCTCTGCCTGCAGTTGTGCTTACTTGTGCTCTCTATCTCTCTGTCAATTAAACAAATAAAACTCATGGTATGTACAAAAATTGTATTATGTTACTGAAACAAAACAGGATGAAAATTATTTAGAAAGCATATTGGCAGTTATGTTTAAAATAAAATTATTCATAGAAAGAACCTGGAAAGATAATCTCCAAATTGATAACACATCTGTAAAAGCTATGCATAGGGGGAAAAAAAAGAATTTTGCATGAAAGAAATTTGGCAGGAGAAATCTGTATGTTAACACATTTTGGATAAGAAAACTTTTGATGATGTGCTTTTTTTTTAAACTCTTAACTTTTTAAAGTTTCTAAATAAAGCAATATTACTTTGATGTGACAGACCTATACCTGTGCCTAAAAGTTTAAAAGTGTGTGTTTACTATTCCTTCAGCTTCCATGAAATTTTAATTTTTTACTCAAAATAAAAATTAGGGGAAATTTGTTAAATATAAATGTGCAAATGACTCATTGGTTCTTTGAAAGAACATTTATATGTGATTGGAGAATATATTTTCTGTGTTTTACTTACAAAGATGCAAGTGTTTCTTAAAATAGTTTGCCTAAGCTATAAGGTGAAAACTTTTTTTAGAGATCTTTCCTTAATCTTGTGACTGTGAACTGCAAAGTAGGCTATTGTGTTGATGGAATAAATAATTCTGAAAATAAAATCCCACTTTAGGTACTGCACTAAGTGTAGCAAGTGTTTAGAGAAGGGACTGGTCAATAGGAATATATATTGATTTATGCTATGTTATTAGCAATTTTTTTCTTTATTTTCAAAAGGATTCCTTTCCATTAAAAGTTCGTGGTATCCATTTGATAAATGAGCCAATAATTTTCCATGCTGTCTTTTCCATGATTAAACCATTCCTGACCGAAAAAATTAAGGAACGGGTAAGTAAAACATATTCAAGTCATTATTCTTCTGTACCAAATGTTCCAATCCTTCTTATTTAAGAATTGAATTATTACCTCCCCTCCCCAATGTTTTAAGTATTTATCTAACAAACCATTTTTATAAATTAAAATTCCTTTTTAATTTTGAAAAATTAAGTTAGGCTGTGGGGGGAAACAACCTCTCATTCATTGAGGTGAAAGTGCAAAACGGTCTATTCCCTATAAAGGGCAGTGTGCTAATAGTTACCAAATTACAGCTTTTGCACTTCTGGGATTTTATCCCAGGGCTATACAAGCACGTAAACAAAAATTACAGAACAAGAGGATTCATTGCAGCAAAAGACTAGAAACCACCATGTTCGTCATTAGGGAACTTGTTAAATAAACAGATAAATCAACACAATGGAATACAGTAAGATTTTCATGATGGCTTGTAAAATGAAATAAAAAAAGGAAGAACAGTTTTTATGGTATGCTACCTTATGTATAAAAAGAGGAGAAGTTAGAATCTCTAGTTATATTTGCATTGAATGGATATCCAAGAAAGCAACCTAACTATATGTAATAGAGTAGAGGTGTTGATGAGTTTTGAGTAGGGACCAAGGCATTTCATTGTTTATCTTTTATCTTGTTTTGGTTTATAGCTATATGAATGTATTATCTGTGCAAATAAAAAATGTATTTAAATTAGACATGCATAACTGAAAACCACAGTACCCAAGGTATGTGACTTAATGTCACATTAATTAAAGCAAAGCTTGTGGAGCCTTATTTCAGGTGAATATCTAATATCTCTTAGGATTTTTCAAGTATTAAAAATAAAATTTAAATTCCCAAGAATGGCAACCACTTTTCTACATTACTCTATAAAAGATAATTTGTAGAGTTACCCAGTAGGAATTTCTATCTGTATTCAAGAAGAACCACACCTGTGAAGAAGGCCACTTTTCATGTTAGTATTTTTAGAAAAGTCGATTTTGGGGGGCTCATTTTAGTCTTCCCTCAGTGTAGATTGATAATAGCTGACACATTTTGTTTAACTCTGAAAGATCTAAAAATAAGTATTTCTATTTTGGGTTGTATTCTGGACAAATAAAAACAAAACCAAAAAACTGAACCTAATGAGTAGGAGAATATGAGCTAAAAAGAAAGAAAAATTTAAAAATTGAGAAGGTAGGTGGAGTATTTCAGGGAAAGGTAATTGACATGAAACAGACTTGCCAAAGTAAGAGAGATGGGGACCCAATCAAGCCATTCTCCTCCCTTTCAACTTTTTGGCACTATCCTGTGAATGTTTTATTTGCCCCCTTCTGAGGAAATCATAGAATTTTCATTAGCTGATGATATTTTAAACATTTCAGAAGAAATCAGGTTCCGGAGTATAGGAAACTTGTTTCTTTCATTTTTCAGTTCTCATATCCTAGCATATAGTAGCTGCTTTTAAATGATCATTGACTGTATAGATGAACAGTTTACCCTACCAGGTGGAAAAAGGGACTTATTTTTAGCAAGATGTGCTTTTAGTTGACGGATCTAAGTCTTTATTTTAATTTCATAGCACCATATGGTCACTTTTTTTAGTTTAAGTATTTGAAAACTTAAGGTACTCAACCATCAACAATTGTCTCTTAATTCTGTCCTAGCCAAGATTATCCATCAACTGTACCACGTAAAATACTCCCCATATACATAGCTGTGTGCGCTGATAAATGCTTCTAATTCATATGAACTAATACCAGGTAGTAGAGTTTTATCATCTCTAGAACAGATATTTTGCTAAGAATCACCTGTACATTAGGGAATAGAATGTATAAAATGATTTTATTTAGAGTTTTAAAAATCTATTTTTGAAAGAGGACAGAATATCTTTTAATAAATCTTATATATGCAAATACAAATACATATAAAAAAAACAAGATGGTTAGACTCCTAAGCAGCACAATAGAAATTTAAGTATAATTCTTACATAAGCAGAGAAATAAAGGGCATAGCATTTATACATGCTCTCCTATCTTGAAAGTCATTAGAATACCTTATTTTATGGTGTTGATTTTACATTTGAAATATATGTAATCTAGTGAGAGACTGAGGGCATATCTTCTAAAACATCTTGGCTATTTCAGATTCACATGCATGGGAACAATTACAAACAAAGCTTACTTCAGCATTTCCCAGACATTCTTCCTCTGGAATATGGTGGTGCAGAATTCTCCATGGAGGACATTTCTCAGGAGTGGACAAATTTTATAATGAAGTCTGAAAATTATCTCAGCAGCATCTCACAGATCAATCAGTGAGAAGAAGTTATTTAATGTGAATGACTTCCTAATTACAAATACGTGAGTGAGATCCTACCTGGTTATATGAATGAAAGAAAAAAATCCTTTAAGCTAATTAACACTTGTCTGATTGATCTTTTAAATTGTAAAACTCTTCTGACATGAGCAACATGGATATTTGGGAAACTTCTTGACTTTTTAAATGCACTTTCTTTATCTTTCAAGTAGTTAAATGTTTGTATACCTTAAAAGCATAGAAAGGATTCCTGATTTTTATACTTGAAATTATCTCCTAAAGTAGCTGTTTCTGAAGTTTCATTTTCAACAAGTTATCTGACTACATTGGTTGAGTAATAAATGTATAAATAGTCCACAGAAAAGAAGTATTAGTACAAATCAACTGATGATAAAAATCTATTAATACCCATCTTGGGTGAATGTCAGATTAGATTATAATTCAGATTAAAATCTGAATACAGTTTTACAGAGTTTTTTCTATGGGCCAGCAAGATAGTTCATCTCAGGGAATTTCTATTTCAGCACATGTACACAACAGAAACTTTTGATTAAAGAGTCTGTGCACCATAAAGTATTATATGTAGCATCTAGAGGTCTTCATGAAATTACTCATGTTGCTACAATTGATAATCAAAAATAATTTAGGAAATATTTCAGGCATAGCTGATAGTTTTTACATACTTTTCCTGCATTTTCAAATAAATCAAGAATGTAATTCTGACATCAGTTTTTGGATATTCTTATCATGACTACATAGACAATTAGAAATGGAATAATATTTAATTGTCATACATACATGACTCTATTTTTAATTGAACAATAACACAACTACACAAAGGAAAGGAAATGTTTACATTTAAAAAATCACTGTCAGTTACACCTGGAACTTTTCAGATTATATATGAAATAATTCTACGTTTACTACATATCAGAATATTCTAGCCAAATTCTATAATTCATGTGTACTTTAAAAAAACAGTAGTTAAAATGTGATGTTTCCATTATAGTTTATGTCAAAGAATATTTTGCTTATTAAGAAAGATACAATGTCAATATAGCTTTCAGTTTATGACTTTTTATAGTGTTTCATAATTTTTTAATTTTAAGATTTAAAATAAAAAAAACACAGGGTGCAAAATTTGTTAAATATTGTTTAGCTTAGTTGGGTTTCAACATTAATCATACAATGGCATCTTTGTGAAAGGATATATGAAGGGCGTTTTTCTTTATAAGAAAATTATTCTAATCAGGTGAGCTGATACTTGTGATTCTCTGTCTATGAAAAAATTGAGAGCACTTGTGAAAGTTCTTTAGAGAACATATTTAATTTTGACTTGGCATTGGGAAGCTAACTTTACATTATAATTTTTATTAAAAAATTACATCATGCTTGTTTTCTAAAAAATTTTTATTAAAAAATTACATCATGCTTGTTTTCTATAAAAACTATAAAAAAATTATAAAAAAATTTGTACCTTCCTTTAAAAATCATATAATTCACAAAATTGTATAATTAGAAATAATAGCACAATAAAATTATTGAAAAAGAATAAACAATAAAAACAAAAAAGCTCTGGTTTACCCAACTTTTATTCCCCTGTAAAGGAGGTTTATATCTGAGTTCCACTTCATTTACGTTTGGGTACTTAAAACACTTTCTTATGACACTGTGAAGTGCACAAATAAAGGGTAATATTTAAAAAGGTCTCTTAGATGTGATTCACTGGCGATGTTATTAACAGTAAAAAAAAATGAAAATACGTCAATCATTTCATGATGGGACTTTGACTTTTTTTAAATGCAACAATTCTTTGAAGCAAACTGAAAGAACAATGTGAAATGAGCAATTTTATAAGGTTGTAAGATAAATAACTATCAAATTGTCTCTATTAGTTTACCGTGATTGTGCCCTAAGTGCCGTTTATTTATAAGGTTAACGCTAACATGAGCTCATTGTGTTAGTGAACTGCACAATAATTTATTTGTTTTAATATTTCTCAAAAGAAAATAAAGATCTTTCACATAAACAATACCTGTTTCTTTTTCGTTTTTAAATACAATATAAATATTAGGCATTTATTTGCAATAATTGCTTTTCTTTACAGATAAGTTTAAGAAAAACATCACATTTGTTAAGTTTTATTGATTAATAAGATTGACTTGGATACATTACACAAATGCTAATTTTTCCTCTGTAAGTTTTCATTATAGGCTGGTTTTCCAGGCTGCTGAGTTCAACACCATCTTCCTCTAGTGTCTTTTGCTATGCTTAAAGGGACCATGAACTAATTTCATGAAACTAAGCCATGCAGATTTACTAAGTTAAAACTTCTAAGTGAAAAAAGAGTTTGCTACTTAATCAAATAATTTAATTTTGAAACAATCTGCAGTTAGCCTAGATTGTGATTTTATATTTATGTGTTTTAATATATTTATGTGTTAAATATATTAGTAATTAACATTAATATATATTAATATATTAAACATATATTATAAATATTAAGTATTTTTATACAATATATAATATACTTATATACTTAAATATATATAATATATATACTATGTATTTTTCTTACAGAAATAACACTGAAGAACTAGAGCAAATACTGTCTTTGCCGCTCATCTAAGTTAAGCTTATAGCTCACAAAACAGGTCAAACCTACAAACCAACTGAAAACTTAGTATACTAGTAGGATCGTGTTGTCTGAAACACTATTTACTGGCCTTATACATTGAATTTTGCCACACTTAGATGCCGTAGAGGAACTGTGATTTACAAAGGCAGAACTAGAAATGGGGGTAATAAAATTAGGATTGGCAGCAGTACCTCTCACTGATTTTCTTATTAGCAAGGACACATACCATCTTCCTCGTGTCCTCATAGCTAGTATTTCCTTGACTGCTCTCTTTTCTACCTAAGTCAATCATATTAATCTATAAAATGTCTACTTTTTAAAAAAAAGATTTTATTTATTTATTTGTCAGAGAGAGAGAGAGAGTATAAGCAAGAGGAGTGGCAGGCCAGGCCGAGGGTGAAGTTGGCCCACTGCTGAGCAGGGAGCCTGATGTGGGACTCAATTCCAGGATCCTGGGATCACGACCTGAGCCCAAGGCAGACACTTAACCAACTGAGCCACTTACGCAACCCAAATGTCTACTTTTGATAACACCATACACTGAATTAAATACTACAGTGACTGGAAAAATTAACGAGATGCTGCCTAGAAGAGAGAAAATATTTACCTAAAATAGCCAGGTAAAGTGCAATATAGAGTACAGGTCATTAGAATGGTTCCAATAGAATGCTTTGGAAGGAAAGATAATTTCCACATGGGATAACTGAGAATATGTTCTGAGAAGAGGTACAATTTGAAGCAGAGCCTTTAAGGTGAATGGACTGCCCTAGAGAACAATGAGAACTGAGGAGGGGAAGGATATTCCAAGAAAAGAAATAGCACAAGCAAAGACAGGGACAAGAGAGAACAGGCCATGTCTGAGAAACAGTAAATAGTCCTACCATTTTTGGAGGGGGGGAAGGGGTACAGGAGGTAAGACTTTCCCTAGAAAGATGCACAGGAAACAAACTGTGGGAGGCACTGAACACCTGCTGAAGGGCACTCGAACCATGGACTACTTATTTTGTGCCAGAACTTAGGTTCATATATGTTGTGTCGTTCAATCTTGGCCAAAAAAAAAAAAAGGTAAATGGCATTATGCCCATTTTTACAGAAGAGACCTGAACTTTGAATGTGTCTGTTCCTGGCTCAGGGTCACAGAGCTAGTGAATGCCAGCATCAGACTGAACTTGGCCGTTCTGGCTATAAAATCCACACCCCCACACCACCACCGTGCTCCTCCCAGAGAGTTCCACGGGCCACCAGATTCCACCAGTCCTACTTGGAAATGTCTGACCTCAGCCTATTTCTAAGACTAGTCATCTCTTATCAGACCTGCTATAATGGCTTCACGTTAGATACAGCATCTCATCATTCTTGTCCTTACCTCCCCCTTCCACCACTGCCGGAGTTCTCTTTCTGCAAGATTTTATCCCCTGAACTTTGAGGGAGCAGCACTGCATGTGTGGTAAACTGCTAATTGGCATGTGAGGCCCTTTACAACCAGGCCCAACCTGTTCTTCCATCCTCACTTTGCAGGACTCTGAACCCCACCTACATTCTAGGCACTCAACATTTTCACCCCCCTCCACGCAAGACATCTCAGAATCAGTAGCAAGGGAGGGGTGAGGGAAGGGAGGGAAAATGCGTGTACTGTGTCCTCTGAACCTTTCTCTTACTGTTTTCTTGGTTCCATGTCCTTTCCTGCTTTCTCTAGCTGCTTGTCTGCAGAGTCCTGCTCACTTGTCACATCTGGGAAAACTCTAACCCTCCAGAAAATTCCTTGATCCTACTTGGGGATCCTCTGTGTGGAGGTATTAAACAATCCTTATGTCACTGAATTTATTTTTTTATAATAATAACTTTTATTTATTGTTTACCTGCCTGTCTCCCCGTTGGAAAGTGCTCTTAAATGCAGATGGTCGTTTTCACCTTTGTATAATCTATCTAACCAGCGACTAGCACAGGGTCAATACTCACAGGATGCAGACCTTACTGAGCAATAGTTCTCATTGCAAGGCTGGGTGACAGCCATAAGGGGAACAGTCACAAGCGGGATGAAGGTCTCCCTGGGGCTAAATGGAATATTGTCTACTGGGAGGTTGAGGTGTCCTCAGTAGCCTCCTTACAAACCCTCAGACTAAACCTTCTCTCTCTCCTTTTTTTCTCTCTCTCATCCCAAATGTTAGCTGTGTTACAGCGATAAGGTTCTACCCTGCTGGGCTTTATTTCTGTCTCAGACTTCAGTCCATTTCTCTGTTTTAAGTATTTTAAGTAACTGGGCTTCAAGCTCTTGCCCAAAAGGGACACAACATCTCTAAACATCAAACAACAGCCCGTAAGTGCTAGCTCATGATATCCTCCCTGAAATAGAGACTCTATTTCTAAAAAAAATTAACACCATTATCAATTTCCCTCTCCCCAACACCAAAAGACGACTCCAAGGATTTCTATAATTAGTTGACTATCACCAGAATCCATGCCCTAACTTTTCTGCCACTGCCTTTCCCTTATACCTCATGACTAAAGAGATGTCCCTGACCTCCTTGATTGGATTCTGTGCCTGCAACTCAAAACCTCAAATCCTCTCCATCTTCTCACACTGTTAGAGTCCCTAGTTACTGATAACTTTCCCCTTTTTTATATATGAAAGAGGTAGACACACTTTGGGGGGGTGGTCCTCAACCAAAATACACTTTCTGCCTTTCCACCAAAACTGCTCCAAAACAAAGAATACAACCTTGGGTTCACATTTCACAACTAAAAAAAAAAAAAAAAAAAAAAAAAAAAAAGCCTTACTTCAGATAGAAATCCACCTCAACAAGAAACCTTAAATTGAAGGTCTTTGGCGAGGCCTGCAGAAGCCCATGATGATGTAGGTGACAGAATATGCCACCGCCCCCCAAATATGCCACTTTGACATAAGGATTATTTTGAGCTGAAGGCAATTGAGAAGAAGCAGATACAAGAAAAGCTCTCCACCCTCCCCCATTTACCTAAAAACAGGACATAAATGTCCCCTTTCTTCTACCAAGAAGGACAAAAGTTAATCATTGGCGACAACTATAGATCCTTATCAGTCCCAAGGAATCTATATAGTAAACTTTATTAGCCCTTACCTTCCACTAATTTTCCATATATTTTATTTGCGTTCCCACAATTTACCACTCATAGAAACTTGAAGCCATCTTCCTTTTCCAATGTTATATAAGCCCAAGTTCTAACCAACCCTTTGAGTTACTCTTCATTGAGGTTTCTCTCACACAATGTACATTGTATGAATTGTTTTTCTCTTGTTAATCTATCTTTTGTCAGGGAACTGACAGAGTAGAAGCAAAAAAAGGAGATTTTCCTCCCCTATAAGGACATGGAGTAGACTGCTTTCTCAAGAACTATGTGATACCATAAAGTGGTCAGCTTCTAGCCAACACACCAGAACAAGATCATCCACAGGTGTTATAAAAAATATATACATATTTTTCCCTTTATAGTTCTTGTTATCCTCCTTCAATTTTTCTATTACTGACTGGCATCAAAACTTCCTTAAACCATGTCTTTCTTTTTTGCCCTGCTATTCCTTCTTCTCTATTCCTTACTTTACCTATATTCAGGACCCCTAAGACCTTTGGATGGCTGTTGCAAAACTGAGATTACTCAGTCTTAACATCTTTCTTTAAATTGTTGCCTTTGTCCACCCTTTCCTTCATTTTTCTTCAAATTCTTCTTCCCACCCTTAAAACTACAGCT